TTCCCCAAATTATCCCAAATGTAAAATAATTACCGGGACTAGAATTCTCTGTTTATGGGAGTGTAAAATTATAGAGGCATTCTGGCAGGCAGTATGTCAAGAAATTAGCTTCGCTATAGGACAGGCACTTCTCCCTAGCCCAGTCATGTGTCTCCTTGGGTTCATACCCAGTCATCTGGATACTCATAAAGAAACTGTGCAATTTCTAATGATGTTGGCCAGAAAATTAATAATGCTTAAATGGGTTGGCTCTGATGCCCCTTCGGTCCAGCTATGGAAAAATTAGCTTTCTGAAGTTATTGTACTAGAAAGATTGAGATACTGTATGAATGGGAAATTTTATGCTTTAAAAAAAAGATGGGAACGTATTCTTGATTACTTCAAAATCTATAAAATGAAAAACCAGTAATGTGATTCTGAATGACGTGTTTGTATAAATTGGTTATGTTTCTCATATGATGCTGTAATTTATGTACATGCCTCCGATTTTGATTTTGTCTTGTTTTCTGTATCAGTGCTGTATAAGTTTTGCCCTGTTATTGTTCTTTCTTTTTCAGTTTTTGTAAAAATGTTCAAAAATACCTAATAAACATAATTCATTAAAAAAAAAGCATCACCAATTTGCCATGACGCTAAACTGCATCAGGAAACAAAAGAAAAGTCACAAAGCTCAATAAAAAGTACGAAAGACTATTGAAACAACCGGAAACAGGAACGTCTGACTTTACAGAAGACCTTCTTATTTTTGCAACTAATACTGACGTGCATTCCAATAACTTCAGCACGGTGCATACAGTTTGCAAAGACACTGTGCAAATAAAGCACAAGACTTAAAAAAAATGAATAGACAGGTAGCTGTATCAGATTATCTCAAATACAAGCTACTCATGAAAACAGAGATCTGGAAAAACTATTAAGCGTTGGGAAAAAAGCTTGGGTAATGCTGATAAAAAAACTGGACATTGCAGATGGTCTGCTTAAGGCAGTGTTTGGTACCGTTATCCAAATCAAGCTCATTGAAAAGCACATTCTGCATACAATTTATGTAAACTTTGATGACAAAAGAAAAGACAAAAATCCTCCTGTTCTTATCCAGAATAAAAAAAAAATACAACTCCACTACATTAAGATGAAGACAAACTAGCATTTCATAAGGTATAAGGTCTAACATTAGACAAAGCTGTGGCATCTGTCAAAGAAATCTTTGCTGCTGGCCAAGCTTATGTTGCATTGAGCGGAGTCAAATCAATTAACAACCTTAACATACAGGATTTTAAACACACTGCAATTTATGCAAAAAACTGAGATTGAAGACAGTCTGAAATTAATGACTATCTTCATCAGCCCTTTATTAAAGCCAGTACCCAACAGGAAACTTTGTCTAAATATACACAACATCCAAGATTTACGGAAACATAAAAAAGATCTTAAAAGTAACAGTAAGGTGTTGGCTACAGACATGATATGTCTAACTGAAACATGGCTTGAAGACAGTAAATGGCTCGACTTTGTAGAAATAACAGGTTGGACATTCAAACACAAAACAAGATCCCAATCATACCAATGTATTTCATTTACAACCTCGTGACTACATCGTATTACTATTACCATCTTATAACATGTCTCATTTTAAGATGAGCTTGGTCAATACATTAAACCATTTTGATAACCTTTCTGGACCAAAAATTGTCGTGTGTGACTTCAGAGACAATGCACTGATTTCTAATTCGATGCTGGATTTTGGCATTACAATCAAATAGTAAGAGCCACTCAGTCCCACTCTGCAGAATCTGTTAGTTCAATCTCTAACGTTCTGCTCTCTCTGCTTTTTCTCATAGTAGCTTCATCTGGTCTGTTCCTGTTTGGCT